TGGAACGAACCCTGGGTATGAGTCGGCTCGGAAGGTTTCCATGTGGGAACTTTGTTTTGGTTTTTCAAGGCAGCATTCTCTTCCCTCAAGGTGGCCATCTCACGAGCATCTTTCTCTCATTGTTGCTTCATGGCGGTAATCAAAATATGCTTTTTGCTTGGGTTCATCTTCTCACATCTAAAAAACAGTAATAGAGATTCAAGATTACATTCATAAATGTCATTCTTCTTCACTTACATGATAGTCATTCACCACCTCATATAAAATATATCTCTTAATTTTTCATTTTCTTCATTTATTTGGAAGTAATAATTGTTTTCCTGACAGAAATATCACCTGTGCTTAGGAAAACGTATGATGGTGGTCTTGACGAGCGGGCCGGGACAGAAAAAACTATATACTATTAATGGTATCAAACTATCAATGACCTACTAGTGTACTATACCCGCATACCATTCTCATGCATGTTTCATAAGGAAGATATTTATAATTAATATTAAGGTATCAATGCCCTTCTACGTACCACCGTAACCTTCCCATATTTTATAGGTTTTATATATAGGTTTAACTGTTGGACTCCTAGGCGCTTCACACACTACTTGAAAAGTGTCATTTTCTTACGAATTTTTCTGCAAAAAAATATTTGCAGAAATATTTTGAGAATTTTTTTGCGAAAAATAATTTACAGATATTTCTTACAAATTTTGCTACAATTTTAATAATCATAAAAAAAAAATTTCCATGGTAAAAATTTGCAAAAAATATTGTAAGAATTTTATTTTGTTTCTTGTAGATTTTCTTGCAAAAATAAATTCGCAAGTAATGTTTACTAAATGGTAGAAAAAATTTGCAGGTAACTTTTCCTGCGGATTTTCCTGCAAATTTTAATCTGCAAGAAAAAAAAAAAAATATTTAAATTTATAAGTTTAATATTTTAAAAACACTTCAAGTCCCACATCGATTGAAAATAAAACAATTAAAGAGTATATAAGTTAGGACAACACTTACCTTACAAGTTGATTTGTATGGTTGAGTGTTAGACTTATAATCTACAATCGTAGAATTTAAAAAATTATGTATCACATGTTGGGAGCATAGAAACAAATGCTTCGGATGAATTCATTGTGAGCATTTGAAAGTTGAAGAATTATGGATAGAATTTATAGTAATTTCTTTAATTTTTTTCGTAAAAAATATTTTTGCAGAATTTCTTGCAAAAAAATTCGCAAGAAACTTTCTTGTGAATTTTTTTTTGCAGGAAACTTTCCTACAATTTTTTTTTGCAAGAAACTTTCTTGCAAATTTTTTTCGCAAGAAATTTTGCAGGAAAATTTCCTACGAATTTTAAAATTTGCAAAAATATATTATCCACGAAGGTATTACCTGTAGATAAAATTTCACAGAAAAATTTGTAAGAACAACGTTTCCTACGAATTTTTCATAAAAATTCGCAAGAAAAATCACATGTAATAAGAGAAATTCTAGTAATGACAAGAACAAGCACAAGGTCTGATTGTTGTTTTCTTATTAGCTTTTCGTTTAAAAATGGGAAGGATGGCATGCTGTGAGAAGGTAGGGTTAAAGAAAGGACCATGGACACCCGAAGAAGACAAGAAGCTTATTTCTTATGTTGAAAAACATTGTGACGGAAACTGGTGTTCAGTTCCTGCCAAAGAGGGTAATACAACGTCTCCATACCTTAGTTTTAATCTCTTGTGAGTCTACATCTTAATAACGTCGGCTTTTCCGACAGTATACGTGCTTTGAGAGAGATAAAGATAATTTTTTCAATGTTATACACATAATGTGTTCTGGTACACTTGGTTATCAAGTTCACTTAAGACCTCAAAGTTCACGGATCAAGTCTCGAAAATGTTAAAAATACGAACGAATAAATGATAAACTAGAAAAAGGAGATAAAGAAAAAAATAAAATAAATTTTGTGTCAACATAGTATCGTCTTAACAGACAATAAAAAATTAAAATAAATAAATTTGTTAATGACAGCTTAGTCGACACAAAAAAAATTGTGTCGACTTATTTAGCGTATATTACGTCGGTTTTATGATTTAGAGTCGGCTAGAACATTCTTGTAATGAATTATATATTTTAAGAGCATCAACAACATTAATATCTTAAAAGTATCTTGTGTTTAATCAACCTGAGTCTTATATACATTTTTTCATTGGAGTTGACTTACATGACACAAAGTATATCTTACATTAAGCTTTGTATCTTATAAAAGGTACATAACTTATGAATAAAAAATTATTTATACAACATTAAATTGAGTAAAAGGGGAAAACTAGTAAATCATATCCAGGAAAAAGATCAATAAGGATTGCATAAATTTTTACCATTTGAGTTAAAATGTAGCCAGTTGCTTAAATATGATTTGACAACGTAAGACCTAATAAAGTAAAATGAGATACATAATTAAGCAACATACATCATAGGTGCTCTAAGTTTTGTGGACAATCTTGAGAAACCTCTCATTACATGCATGTTGAAAAATTCTCTCCATTACAAAACTCCATATCCTTTACAAAACATAGTGATGTGATTTGCAAAATTTAAAGATATGAATGTTGTGATTGACATGCTTCCTTTATTGTTATTCCTCGTGATATAGATTAAGTTGTCCATATTTTGACAGGATGAGACTATAAAAATAATGTAAATAATGTTAGATGAAGGAATCTTCCAAATTTTGCTTATGTGCAGTGGAAATATATATTAGATTTATGGTATAGTTTCTACTACTTGTCTTTTTTTTTTCATTAAAAAAAAAAAACTATATCTCATATATATAGGATGCGGTGACCTCTCTCATTCTCTCTCTCTATTGGGGGGTGAGTGGTGTCTATTCTTTCCTATCACAATATCTCTCATTTTATAGTAGAGATTCAAGACTATTTTCATCTAAAAAACCATAATAGAGATTCAATATTATTTTCATAAATGTCATACTTCTTCACTTACATGATAGTCATTCACCACCTCATAAAATATATCTCTTAATTTTTCATTTCATTCATTTATTTGGAAATAATAATTGTTTTGGTGACAGAAATATCACCTGTGCTTAGGAAAACGTATGATGGTGGTCTTGATGAAAGAGCGGGTGACAGATAAATAAATAAATGTATAAAGCAAGGTTTTCATAGAAAAAATATTTATAATTATTGGTATCAAACTAAAATGACCTACTAGTGTACTATACCACCGTACCGTTCTTATATTTCATAAGGAAAATATTTATGATTAATATTAAGGTATCAATGCCCTACTACCACCCTACCCTTTATGATTAATATTCAGGTATCAATGCCCTACTACCACCGTACCCTTCCCATTTATAAGTTTTATATATAGGTTTAACTGTTGGACTGCTAGGTGCTGCACAAGAACAAGCACAAGGTCTGATTGCTGTTTTCTTATTAGTTTTTCTTTTAAAAATGGGAAGGATGGCATGCTGTGAGAAGGTAGGGTTGAAGAAAGGACCATGGACACCTGAAGAAGACAAGAAGCTTATGTCTTATGTTGAAAAACATGGTCACGGAAACTGGCGTTCAGTTCCTGCCAAAGCGGGTAATACAACGTCTCCATACCTTAGTTTTAATCTCTTGTGAGTCTACATGTTCTTGAACCATCGAGGAACCAAACTTAATTTAATTCCTAATTTTATTTATATATGCTACAAACATTTATATATAGGTCTTCTAAGATGTGGGAAGAGTTGCAGATTGAGGTGGATTAACTACCTCAAACCTGATATAAAACGAGGAAACTTCACATTTGAAGAAGATTGTACCATTATTCGACTCCATGCTCTTCTTGGAAACAAGTGAGGTTTCTGCTTTGAAATTTTCTATATATGGTTAACAATATGAAAGCATATTATTTCATGTCTTTTTTTTTTTTTTTTTTTCAAGAGTCACTTTTACGTACGCTTTTCTGAAATGGATAATTATTTTCCCACTCATATTCTCTACATTTTTTCCCACTTAAAAATATGCAAAGAAATTCAAGAGAAAGGGGGTAAATTGGGGTCCCTCCCTATCACTGTAACAAAATTTATTATTATAACAACAATTATTTAACAATATGTTGAAAATTTTTCACTCTTGACAAATCAAGCTTCGTGTAGTATTTTAGGATGTCATCCTCAAGGTCCCAGAGATATTTTGTAATTTCCCTTTTTATTCAATCTAGACGTAGTTCATATACAACTGTATTGAATAAAGATGCGAATAGATTGCATTGTAAATAAAATGTTAACACTCTTGATTCAAGGATTGAAACTTATATAATGAAGATTGGGATTGAATGTAAATTCACAAGGCTTATGTTGTCTATACAAGATCGTGTTTTCATATTCTCAGATTCTTGTAGTCATTCAAACTGATTTGTCAAGCTTGAAGTTTTAAGAATTAAATCTTGAACATGATTCCTTAATGATCAAGAGTTAATCCTTGCATTAAGTATAAGGATGTAATTGGCTAACAAGTTTAAGTCTATTCTTAAAACAAGATATTGTTAAGTGAAATAATTCAACCCAAACATGTTTTCCCAACAAGCTTCAAAACTAAAGATCTTAAGATGAGTGATTAGGTTGGCTTATGCATTAAGATCAAAATCAAACACAAATGTAATAAATTGAATATATATATATATATATATATATATATATATATATAAAAGATTCAAAAGATCACATAAGTACTAGTGATTACATCCAATCCCACAGGATGAAATCAACCACTCATGGTAAGGGCACTTAGAGATGCATAATGAAAATACAAAAAGCAAAAAAAAAAAAAAAAAAAAGAAAAAGAAGAAGAAGAAGATGGAACAACAAGACCTTTGTTCCCAAAGAGTGACCACCTTGCAAGCTTCCTTCCTTGTTCTGTTTCTTCTTTCTTGATTTTTGTATCTTTGTATCCCTCTTTTTCTTTCATTCTTCCCTATTTATATGTTCTGTGTAAAACAAGGGAAAAATCAGAATTTTATGGTTTTGGCACTGCAGCGTTCAGCGCTGCAACGCTGGTAAGTCCGTCACCCTGAAGAATCCTCCTGAGCTGGGGCACTAGGTTGGGTGTTGGGGCGCTGGGCTGTTTTTTTTTTTTTTTCCAGAAACTCAATGTTTCAGCTCCAGCTTCACCGCTGCAATGCTAGATCTCTGGTTCTTCTAGTTTTTCTTGTCAAAACTTGATTTCCAGCGCTGTGTTGAGCGCTGCAACTCCAACTCTCTGGTTCCTCAATTTTCTTCATCCTTGGCTTGTGTTTTTCTGCATGAAAATGAAAAGGTTCACTTACCAATTATTCACAAATCCTATCATGCTTCTATTTCAAATTTTAGGACAATTTGAGGGAAAATTTGCAAAGAATTGCTAAATTGAAGCATAACAAGTGTTAATAAAGATGTGAAAACCATATATTCCGCACACTTATCACAATAATAAAGTAATTGTCCCTATTTTATTATCTAATAAAAAATATTAATAACTAATGTATAATAGCCACTAAAAATGTATTTACATTATATCAAAATTTATCATTAGCAACAATTCTTTATTAAAAATGTTTAAATCTCACATTGACTAGAAATAAGATAATTAAATAGTATATAAGTGGATGATAACTCTTACCTTTGTAGGGTTGAGTTAGACTCATAATTGATTATTTTAATTTGGTATCAAAAAAACTCGAGTTCCACATGTGACACCTTGATACCACTAAATGTGACATCCTCTATTCCAACATTAATACACAATAAATGTAAACTATAATTTTCTGAGTAAATAAAATCTTTCATAGTTGATAACATCTTTCATGAATAAAAACAATTGTCTCAAATATCATAAGGTAAAAGATTCACATTCATAACTCATAAACCATAACTCCAACGTAGAAATTACAAAAGAAAAGAAATTAAGGTTTTCAAAGCAGTTTAATGGAAACAACATCCTAGGCTAGTTCTAATTACACCCTGATGTCACATATTCTATTAGAGCACGCCCAACTGAAGCCTAAACATTGTCACCAACATCCTTATGTTGATAATTACCTACAACACAATAAAAGATATACATAGAGCAAACAGGGGAGTGAGAAACATCTCACTCGGGATAAGGTGTAGAAATAACGGTTAAGCAACACACATAAATCATAACAAACACAAACATAGCTACACATTAATCAAGTATAAATTCAAGTTACACATACAATAGTACCACATCAAGTATAAAATCTGTAAGAAACAAAATAAAATTCTTACAATATTTTTTGCAAATTTTTATCATGGAAAAAAATTTCTATCATTATTAAAATTATAGTAAAATTTGTAAGAAATATCTGTAAATTATTTTTTGCAAATAAATTTGCAAGAAAAAGACACTTTTCTAGTAGTGTCCCTTCTAATTTTAAAAAAACATTGTCAAAACATACATCTGTGAAATAATTTTCAAGTTGGTTATTTAATGCCAAAAATTCAACCGGAGAAAATTCAGAAGAATAAAATTGAGCAAAATGAATCAAATTTTCTTTGACAAATGCAGAAAATGAATCTCTTGGATTTAAACATGCTACACAAAGAAGCAACTCAGTATTTGCTTCAGTGAAACGGTTGTTTAACTCTTGAAGTTGTTGATTAATCACTTGACAAAATAATTCAACTTGAAAATATAATTTTAATTAATGTAATGTTCATAACATACAATGTTTCTTCTAAACATAAAAATAGAATGAGTAAATAAAAATTAAAATACTGAATTTTTCATTGAAAATAAAAAATAATTCAAATAAAATAATATAAAAATAATAACTTTAAATACACTAACCTCAAAGATCACTTTAAATGTATAGTTTAACTATTGAAACATGAAGGAGTAGAGATGGAAGAAGAAGTTTTTTTTTTTAATTTCACTCTTCTACACTTTAAAATATGTTAGAGGTAGAAGAGAATTTCAAAATATGGATAGAATTAAAAAAAGTAAAAATAAAATAGAAAAAAGATATAAAATATCCAAAAAGAGGTTAATAATAACTTATGATTTTTTTTTATACTTAAAATACATATATTATTAATTTATAATTTTTTTTATCTTGATTTATAATTTAAATGCATAACAACTTTTTTTTTCTTTTGAAACATGAAATTTGTTGTTAATTTTTATAACATATTAAAATATTTTTTTAAATCTTTCTTCTCATACAAAGATAATTGTAACAAGACTCAAATTCAGCTATAATTTTATAACTTTTTAATTTTTTTTAATTTTTTGTTTCTATTTTTATATTTTAAATAAAGATAATATAATATTATATATATTAAAAAGCAAAAACTGAAAAGTTAGTGGGGGTAGTTGCCCCTACAAGCATGTACATGAATCCGTCGTTATATATATACATACATATATATATATATATCAAATTTTAAATGATTTACCCTCTTCTATATTTGTTATCCACCAATAATATTTAAATGTATTTATAATATCATTTTATACATTAATATATAATTTTTATATATATTTAATTTTTTTTTTGATACTGAATGTCAACAAGAGAAGAGAAAAAAAAGATAAAGATAAAAGGAAAGCCACACTAATCCCGTAACACGGGAAGACCCATGGCATCAGCAAAGAGCTGAGCTTCTAACCCAGTCGGAGGATCTTCAAGCTCCAAAAGCGCAATTCCAGAATTAGGCCTTATTTTAGCAAGCATGTCCGCACACATTTCCTTCCCTCCAAGAATGGATCAGACTAAGTCCATGGTTTGGCCATTAACTCTTTAATGTGACAGAGGACCCCCGCATACCTATGAGTATGTTGAATTGGTTGCTTGACTAACTCCAAAGCCATTTTTGAGTCTGAAACCAAGAGAACAGACATATACCTTCTAGTCTAACATAATTAAAGACCATGTAAAATAGCTAACAATTCAGCTTTAAGGATAGTAGCCATTCCAATATCTCCCTTAAATCCCCACAACCACTTGCCATCAGAATTTCGAACTAAACCTCCAAAACCTTCATGTCCTTTATTCCCAGGAGAGCTTCCTTCAACATCAACACTCACTTGATGACCTTCTGCCAGCACACATGAAACCCACTCGGGGACTTTGTAGGTTGGTGTCGCCTCCTTACAAGGTGCAAAGCTAGTTTTCATGATTGTATATAGCTCACGAATCTGTCGAATTTGACTCCACGGCTTCCCAACGAGCCCGTTAAACACATGCCTATTGCGATCTTTCTAGAGCTGCCAACAAATGATTGCTGGTAAAATGTGAAATTTTTTGAAACATCTAAGCATCCAATCCATCCAAGACACATTATCATTCCATCGGAGCACCTCTGTCAAGCCAAAAACTTGCCAAACCCGATCAGCACCACCACACTTAAAGAGTATATGTTGCATGTCTTCATCGGCGTCACCACACCGTGGACACGTCGTGTCCTGCCCCACATGATGATTGACTAGCCAGCTATGCATAGGTAAAGCCTGTTGTCCGACATGCCAAACAAAGAAGCGAATGGATTCCGACACAGGTAATATCCAAATCCATTGCCAAGTACTCCTTGTTGCAACTCCAACATCACATAACCACCTATAACCGGCTCTGACAGTGTACTCTCTATTAACAGAACTGCTCCACAAAATAACATCCTCCGCATTAGGATGGAGGCATAATGTAAGAGCCTGAAGGCGTGCCTTGGTCTCATCTGACAGCCACGAGTAAAGTTTCCCAAGAGCCCAATGTCCATCATCCCAAACGTCACACACACGAATATTAATATCCTATAGATGAACAAAAGAAACGGAAGGAGCAAGGTATGTGCCATAAGACCAATTTGTAAACCAGAAAATACTATGTCCATTGCCAAGCTGCAACTGAAATCCAGGTTGTAAACTATCATATGCCTTTCGCAAGGACCTCAAAAAATATGAACCCGAAAGTTGCAGGAGTGAGGTGACATTATCGACACAATATTTAGAGAAGATAACCTGTACCCAAAGCTTGGTAGGGTGGGCAAGAAGGTCCCAAATCAACTTTCCTAATAATGAGGTATTCTGAAAACGAGCCACATGTACTCCCATCCCTCCATCTTTCCTTCGTTGCGTAATTTTGTCCCATTTAACCAAGTGCATCCTATGAGGGTCAGACCCACTCCAGATAAATTTCTGGCTAATAGCATCCAGCTTCTCACATGTACCTGATGGTAGCCACTGAGTTTGCATAGTATATGCAGGAATAGAGGATAACACAGAGTTCACTAATGTAACGCGTCCTGGACGAGCCAATAGACGACCCTTCCACGCAGCAAGACGTTGTTGCACCTTTGACATAACTTCTACAAAAGTGCGATTAGAAACTCGACCTTGCACCATTTGGAAACCCAAGTACTTCCCCAACTTATTTGTAAAGTTGATATGAGTAATGGAAGTGATTTTATTTTTACGGCGAGTAGGCACCTCGCAAGATGTTAAAACTTTAGACTTCTAAATATTAACTTTAAGACCTGAGGTAGTACAAAATTTCTCCAAAACAATCGCAACCCTCCGAATTTGTGCGGGTTCAGCTTTGGCAAAAATAAGCACATCACTGGCAAAGAATAAATGAGAGATGGGAGGTCCGTCAGAATCAATCTGGTAAGGCTCCCAAATGCGTGCTGATACTTCCGCTTGGATCATATGCCCAAGCCTCTCCATGCATAACACAAATAAGTATGGAGTTAAAGGATCACCTTGTCATAACCCCTGTTGTGGCTGAAAACCCTCCATACGCTCCCCATTCCAAAGAAGGGAAATAATCGAAGACTTTATGCCTGACATAATCAGACGGATCACGGTTACCGGAAATCCAAAGGTTACCAACACCTCCTCTAAAAAATGTCTGTCAACTTGGTCATAGGCCTTCTCTAAGTCAAGTTTAAACACCACATCTCCTTTTTTCCGTCTAGATTTAGACATACTATGGATAATCTCCTGTAAAACAATGGTATTGTCCATAGTATACCTCTACCCACTACTACAAGATGCATATTCTACATCGGTTCTCTAAAGGCATCTACATCGGTTCTAAAACTGATGTAGAATAAAGCGACGTAGAAAATGTGTACATTTTTACATCGGTTTTTCAGAACCGATGTAGATTAGAAATTAAAGAAATTAAAGAAATTAAAGTCAATAAATATAATTAAAGAATTTATTTTTATCAACATTATAGAAATGTATGTAACTAATAAGACACTATTATTATCATGATTATTATTATTTAAAAACTCTAAAGTGAATAAATATTTTGTTAGTTATCTACAGAACCTCTTTTAAATTTGCACACAGTTAGCTCCTTCAAACCAAGGAGTTGTTTTCTAATCCTTCGTAAATAAATCCATTCAGTTCCTTGGTAAAGTGATGAAATTGACTTAGGGAAGATACAGACATGGCACCTACTGCATTCTTTCTAATACTAGGATATCTTTTAATTTATAGTCCAATGGAAAAATGAGGCTTCTGTCAAAATGATATTTTCCAAGTTTACACCAGACAAAAATAATTTTCAACCAATTAGATTCTAAAGACAAGAACAATAGGAAAAAAAATTAATTCCTTTAGATTGGTTTGCATTAAGCGTAAGGTACAGATGTACATTCAAATTGAAATCTGAATGAGAAATCTTTTAACTAAAAAAAATATGAAATTTTGAATTAAATTTAATTAAATGAAACAGAATTATTTTGTAGCATGCACCTCCCAGGAGGAGGAAACACTTTTGACATGGACATACAAGTCACAACAGAATGAACGGTGTCAAAGCCAGGAATAGTTTAAGTCAGTGTGACTCACCAAGAGTTGCCATGACTGCTGCAAAGATAATAATGCCAACTGGTTGCACTCTTAGCTTTCCAATTGGATATTTATGGATATTTATGTTCTTCATTGCAAGGTGAGTGAACCAAAGTATGCCACCAGCCATGAGATCAAGCAGAGAATCCAAAGTTGATGTTGTAATAGCTATTGACCCACTCCTTACAGTGGCATAAATCTAGGCATAGATACGTACATATAGTTATTTTATAGAAGAATTATCGGCAAGTACAATAGAAAAAGAAACACTTAAGGAGCTAATTATGACTAAAATAATCAATCAAGCTTCTTCCATATGTTCATATTGACACATGTATAAATTAATTTGTAAAATTTATCTTATTTAACTTCTCTAAAAGTTGATTTTAACTTATATACAAGTTAATTTTAACTTCTCTAAAAGATAAATGTTTTGAATAGCATAGAAAGATTATTAAAATACCTTGGTCCATATACAATGATGGAAGTACAGATTAGTGAAACCCAAAATAACAAATTCACAAAGCATCAAGAAATTATCAGTTTATCTGCAATTATCAAAGCTTGAGCCACTTATTTTAAATTGAGGATAAAAAGAGCAAGTGCATTAATACAAAAATTAAAAGATATCACAAGCATACATACTAAATGGACCAATTATAAAAACATAAACACAACGACCAGAAAAGTTATCATCTTGAAACAGTCACAAACAAATTATATGTAAATGTAGCTGTACCATAATAAAGACAAAGCAAATAATTGGTAACCTGCGTAGTCTTTTCGCAACCAGTCTCACCAGATATGAGAACTACCTGCTTTGAAACAAATGAAAGAAATATTAAGACCAAAACACATACAAAAATCTAATCTGCAAATTCAATTTAATTGTATGTTGAAATGCACTAAAACTAAAATCTTATTCAACTATGTTATTAGATATATTTAACATGTCAATGTGAATCATATAAGCTTAGTGCACTCAGCACCCAAGGTACCGAGTATATGCATATCCAAAGGCAATTTTACAAAGAAAAATTTTAAATTAACCTGGTGAGATTCAACAGTTGATGTAATTGCATCCTTGAAAGATATTTAGTTCCCTCATATCCAAGTCAACTCTAACCAACAAAATTCATACATATATATATATATGAATAACTGTTATTTTTCTGGCAGTGATTGCCATGCAGCTACATATAACCATCCATTTGCAACGGACATTATTCCTATAATAGATAAAAGAGATTTTAAATTTTTAAGTTTTGACATTTATTTTTCTATTTTATCCTTAAAATATATTATTAATTTTTAATAAAATTATTCTTTTTATGTTTTTACTATACATATCATTTTTATCCTTCAACTCATCTAAAATAACTATTCATTTCAAATAATAATTACTCATTTTTCTAAAATAACATATTCTTTCTCATATTTCTCCTCATTCTACCAATTATAATGAATTGATTTCTTTTAAAGCACTATACTACAATAACACGTAAGTAAAATATTTTTTATTTGTATATATAGATGTATGAAATATACCTTGGCTTCGCTATTATCTATAGTAATGGTTGAGCAGCATGCACCATGTATACTTCAGCCACGTCCAATGCAGCAGCTAATTATGGTAGTCGGTTCTAGCTAGTTTTGGTTTCTAGCTATCCCCACACTCCAGTAGACTTTAATACTTAAATCTTGAAACATGACTATATTAACTGTTTTGACTATTTTGACTTGTATGGCCATAGTTTTATCCACTTAGTGTATTATACTAATTAATGATACTTGTTTACCTTCATGCATGTATTTCATCATGTGAGTGAGTAGTGTTACTCGTTGTTCTGTTATGCCGATGAGTGAGAAGTTTTATCCACATAGTTTTATCCTTAAAATAAAAGGCCTGATACATTTGAAGACACTTCAAATCTTCTACAGAATTGGAGGTTTTCCTCCTTTTCAACACTGTCAAAGAGGACCAAGAGAATTAACAGTGGTCAGTTGACAACTCTTGTAACTGAAAAATTTGTAATCAGAATTTGCAGTGTCAGAATTTGCAAACAGATAGCATAAAGTTATTGGAGAAATGCAGAGTTAGAATTTGCAATCAAAACTATAAATGCAAAAAGCAATTTTGGTCCTCCCAATTCTATTAAAGTCCAGTTTTGGTTGAGCTCCCACCCCTCCCCCCAACCTGCACCCCCGCGCCACAGAAATGTTCTCAAATTTTTCAAAATTCAAACTTACAAAATAAAAGCCACACCCTGTCAGTTTGATGCTAATATAGCACCATTTTGCTGATGCAATGATGGCATTTTTCCAGCATGGCATAAAACTTGATTGCGAGGAACTGTTTTATAGACTTTGCTGACTTGGCTATATGGCAACATGTCACTAAGAAACAAAGTGCCATATCAACATCACCAATCCAAGGACTTAATTGGCTGATTTAAGAAAACTATGAGAACTTGACAGATATATTTTGCAATTAAAATTATAGGACAATCAAATTTAAGAGAATCAAAAGTTATAAAAATGTAATTAAGCCAAAACAAAAAATAACTATTTCCCAAACAGCTCAGGATCTAACCTCTCTGAAACCCCATATAAAGGGCTATTTGGTTCTAAAGGTGAATCACAGGAATCATTTTCTGCGGAATCACTCTCTCCTGCAGCAGAAATGTGTGTCATGAGAATTGATTTGGTTGATCGTGGTAATAGTTGGCCAGGAAAACGCATAAGATCAACCAGCAGTTCCACAGAGTTTAATACAACAATCACTGACATATGCTTGTACGAGTCAACACATTCAGCAGCCCCATCATTTGGAAAACCCTGATAAGATAACAGAATGGCAAAACAAGACATCCTTCGTAACTAGACATGATAGAGAATAACTGGTAAAGTAGTCATGTGTAGGGCAGAGTATAACTGCAATTGGAAACAACCAAAGAAATCAAAGCTTACCATCATAAGCCTACTTTCAAGACCTACAGTATCTGCTAATACTTTAAACAAGATAGCACGAGGACGGCATAAACCATGCCTTATTTGCCCTAGCATTTGGACACCATGATTCTCAAACATGTGTGAGGATTCCTCGTGTGCCGCTTTTGCTGGACTCGCTGGTGATGAAACTGATGAACTCGGAGACGCATTCCTGGACGGTCTCTTTGGTGTCCTTGGCGATTTTACTGTTGGCTGGAAGAGCCTTCTTCATGATGCAGCTTATGTTGGCGATGGGAAGGTACCTGTCTTGCTCGCGTATGTTGGAGCGAGGGCTGTGGTCGCCGCTGTCGTGGCTGCCGCAGCCGGGGCTCGCAGGACCCTCCGCCATGCTCGCCGGAACCCTAATTTGAGAGAGGGGAGAAGGAAAAACATGAGGCGAAACCCTAGAGAGAGGGAGGAAGGGGGAATGTTAAGAATACCTGAGAAAGGGACGCAATGATTGTTGAGGAGAGCATGAGGAAAAGGATTTTCATCCCTCACGAGCGTTTGGGTACCGCGATGTTTGTCAAGGATTTGGGGTCGAGGGTTTGAAAGAGAAATGTGTTCGCGCATCATTTCTACATCGTTTTTTTTGTAAACTGATTTAAAATAATTTATATTTATATCGTTTCTACGTAAAACCGATGTAAATAAATTTATATTTTTCATTTAATTACAAAAGTGTCACTGCAATTTTATTTTACATCAGTTTTATTGAAACCGATGTAGATATGGTGATATAAAATAGTATATTTCTAGTAGTGACCTAATATAAAATTATTTTGAAGGGGGCTCACTAGCCTCATTAGAATAGGTCGTAGACGATTCACCAAGATTTTAGAAACTAATTTATACACAACGTTACACAAGCTAATCGGGCAAAAGTCTTTAAAGGTCGTTGGGTGATCAATCTTAGGAATAAGGACTAGTAGAGTTTCAGTGGCCTTAGGGTTAATCCTTCCCGTCTCAAATGCCATAGCTACAAACCTCCAAACATCCTCCCCCACCTCATTCCAATAATTTTTAAAAAATATTAGTTGAAAGCCATCAGGGCCTTGAGCTTTATAAGATTTCATACTTTGCAATACCCGAAAAACCTCCTCCTTTAATACAGGTGTTTCTAGTGATGTGCATTCCTCCCCTGATAAAGAGATGGGGCAAGGTGGCATTTCCACATGGGTTACTTCTGACCGACCCAACAAGTTACTATAGAACACCACAACTTCATGTTTCAAAACCTCTGCATCAGTACAACAACCCCTAAGAAGATTAAGTCCTATAATTTTGTTATGTTTTCGGTGAATCATAGTTTTTGCATGAAAAAATGCATTGCTTCGATTCCCAAGTTCAATCCATCTCTCTCTGGACTTTTGATACCAAAGTATTTCCTCTAACCGAAGTGTGTCTTCATATTCCTCAAACAAACACTTGTAGAGTTGTGTATGTCTAACAGAATCAACTCTCTCAAGATATCGTTCCAATCCTCGTAAACGAGCTCCTAAACTTCTTTTTCGAACAAAAAATATTGCTAAACACTTCATGGTTAAAGACTAAGGAATCTTCGCGAACCTTCTCAAGGGCTTCTAAAATATTATATGAATGCTGGTGCCATGCATTAGCCACCATCGTTTTATACTCCCTATGTGTACACCAGGCTGCTTCGAACTGGAATGGCCGGTTCTTGACTGGTGGAAGGAATCCCCCACATCTGAGGAGGGGATTATGATCAAAATGCCCTCTTGGAAGTACTTCAATCATAGCATTAGGAAAATCCAAAATCCATTGCATATCACTTAATCCCCGATCTAGTTGTTTATGAATTTGAATCATGCCATTTTGTTTCCTATGCCAAGTAAATTTTTTTCCAAGTAGCTTCCAATTCACCAAACAACAATCATCTAGATGCTGTGCAAACACAGTAGCTCTAGATAGTTGAAATATACCACCCCTCTGTTCGGTAGGAGAGAGTATATCATTGAAGTCACCTATAAGGAACCATGGAAGGACCATCACCTGCCGAAGCTCCTTTAAATATTGCCATAATCGATCACGTTCAGCTGGGACAGGATTGGCATACACCTCCGTGCAACACCACACCTTCCCAGACATAGAGACCTGCACTGAAATAGCTTGTGGGTGGGAGCCAACTACCTGACATTGTAAGGTCGAAGTAACCTTAACCAAAGCCCAAACACCGCCAGCATGACCACGAGCTTCTTGGATATCTATAGGATAGTAGCGCAGTCGTTCCCAAAATGATTCAACCTTTGCAAATAAAGTATGGACTTCAAACAAAAACACCATATCTGGCTTAACCTTACGCAGTGTTTCTTCAAGATGAATTTTGTTCATCCTTCCTGCTGCCCCTCTAACATTCCAGGCGAATATATTAACATTCATCATAATCCAACCAAATACAGAGGGGTGACACGTCCACTCCCCGCGCAGTTAAGGCATGACTAGCGCTTTCTCCTCTAAATCCATATCACCTTCTGAGATACTCCCATCAAGTGTTTCCACCTCAACAACACTTTTTCCCACCAAGCTTGTACCCATCGAAGAATCAGGTGGACGTGGCGCATGGAACGTAGCCACACATGCATCCCTTACCACATCATGAGAACTAGTCTGCAACTTATCACCCCCCACGTGGTCATGCAAATCCGCACATGAATGTCTCTCCTCAACGGGACCCATGTGCCTAGACTTATTATGGTCAAATTGCCCCTCGCGTGTACTGGACCCCATAATTATACTTGTTGCGTGCCCCACACCAAACGATGCGTGATGGTTTCCTCCTGCCATATCTGTTCGAAACTTCATGGAATCCCCATGCACTTCCTTTTCTTGTCTTAATCGTTTACTCCTATTTTTGACCCATGTCTTTGGAGCTCGATCCACTTCCACTTTCTCAGCATCAAATTGACTATTCTTCAATCCCACCAAATCAGCCTCATTCTGTTGCATGTATTGTTTCTTTTGCATATCACCATCAAGTAAAGATTCTTCCCGTAAAATCCGGAAGGGATTTTTTTGAGACTTAACTCGTGCCAAATCTTTTTTGTTGCCTCCTTTGTTTCCGCCTTCTGTTACACCCCGTGATTTACTCTCTTTCTGTGATTTTGAAACAACTAACCACTCCCCATGTACCGCCTCTCCCTCACCGTTAACGGCCATAGCAGGGTTGGGAACTGCCGCCGCCATAGATGGCTGCACATCCCCGTCAACCTCTTGCCATTGCTGCCTTTCATCCTCAGTCCTCACTCCTTGGCGGTACTCCTTCCTTGCAGCTACGTGCCACATGTCCGTAACGTCCACAAGTTGCACAAAGGAGATGAAGACCCTAGCAACCACCGGGTTGTTAAGATAGATCTCAACACACACCCTAGCAAACTTCCCCCGTGATGCTTGTAATGTCATCATGTCCACCTTTATAGGACGACCAACAGCCGTAGCCAAGGCTAGCAAAACGGTCTCGTCATAGTACTCCATGCCCAAGCTAGGAAATCGAATCCAAACCAAAGTTTTGTGAATCTTGACATTAGTTGCAACAAAATCCGGAACCCATTCCCGAACTGCCAAATAATGGTCAAACATCATCCATGGCCCTCCAATGATGACTTTCTCCCTATCATCAGGAAGATCAAATTTAACCATGAAGAAACCATGCCCAATATCCATAACATCATATCCGCCCACCAACTTCCAGGTCGTTCGAAGCCTTTCTTTCATAGTGAAATACCCTACTGTCTTTTCTAGCAACTTAATAATTACTGCTTCCGACCAAGGCTCCCTGAGCGTCAGTAAAACCCTCTCATCTATGAAGCACTTGGGTTTCAATCTATTGCCCTCCTCTAATTCTATCTTGAAGAGATTTTCTTGGATCAAATCAACTCGTGCAGGTCGTGGGGCAGCAACCTTATCATCCATTAATTTATCCCGAAAAGACAATTGTGGGTCGCGTGTTGTCGCTCCATCCAGTGGCCGGGATTGCTTTTCCGTACCCGAACTCTCGCCACTCATATTCAGAATTCCCCAAAAACCAACAACTTCAAACTTTACCCTATATATATTTAATTTAATTAATAATATCAGTAAATATATCGATAGACATTCTATTAAAAAAATTTATTCAAAATGTTACTTCATTAATACGATGTGTCTACTAGAAAAAATATATATTTAATTATCCGATTATTTGATGTTTTCTTAAGTTATATGAGAAAGTAACTTTTAATTATATATTTTGCATATGTAGATGGTCAACCATAGCATCTCACTTGCCCAAAAGAACAGACAATGAGATCAAGAATTATTGGAACACCAACATCAAGAAAAGGCTTAATAGAATGGGCTTGGATCCCATTACTCACAAACCAAAAGCCAACACCTTTGAAAACTGTGGTGGTGAACAATCTAAGGAAGCTATCAATATGAATCACATTACACAATGGGAGAGTGTTAGACTTGAAGCTGAAGCCAGAGAATCTACATTGCATGTTGGATCTAGCTTCTTCCATTCTCCACAGCTAATATTAAGCAAATTTCCCACTCAACCTCAAAGTTCACCAGATTCCCTATCAACCAAATATAACACCACAAACACAATGCATAGCATGTATGCCCTCATGCTTGCCACAGATCCTTGCCTTCCATCACCAATATCTACGTTGACCTTTCCAAAGTTACCTATCCCTACAAATGTGACACAATTCACCAACTCCAAAAGCTCACTCTCATCATGTAAGGGTGGTGATGATCATGTCATAGAAACTAGTAATCATAATCAAAAGATAATAACAGAAGACTGTGTGTCAAGCATGCAAGATGACGACATTATGGTGGTTGTGGATGCAATACTTAGAACAGAAAGATGTGAGAGTATTGAAGAGTTGTTAAACGGGTCCACTACCATGGAAGGTCTAATTAATGATTCAATTGAAAGTGATAGAAGCGTAGGCACATAATTTTAAAAACCGGACCGGTCATCGAACCGGTTAAGGTACTGGGTCAGTGGGTCAAAGGTTGAACTGGTGGGTCACTAGTTGAACCGCATGACTCGATTTTTATTTATTTTTATTAAAAAAATATTCATATTAAATATATTTTATACTTATAAATTTTAATAAATTCATATCTTATTTTAAATTTCAATTTTTCTATCTTATTTAAAATTATTTTTATTTTTATTTTGTAAAAAAATACATAAAAAAATTACATGTTAAACGGTATATTAATACAAATTAAAAATATAAATAATATGTACATATATAATATGCTTGCAATTAATATCACAAAATAATATATGTAATATTTACATAGATATTGCATTATTAAATATATAATTTAAAATTAATAATATACAATAAAAGTTATTTAAGTTGTATATATTGCAAACAAATATATTAGAACAAGTAGTCATTGTTATATTTAATAAGACTCCTTGCTTTTTCATTAAGAGATTCAATTTTCATTATTATTTTTATGATTTATGGTCCCTTAAAAAAAATTTAAAAAAAAAAGAAAAAAAAGTGGTTGAACCGGTTTGACCCACCGGTTCACTGGTTGAACCGGAAAATTGACCAGTTCAATCCGGTTTGAAACGGGTCGACTGCATAACCGATCCAACTTCAGACCACCGGTTCCCGGTCCAACCGGTCCGACCGGCCGGGTCGGTCCGGGTTTTAAAACACTGCGTAGGGAAATAGAAAGTGCAACAGTATGCGTTCCTTCCTTGCTAATGGAATTTAATTATTTAATATATTTATGCATGTCGCCTATCACCACTCCTAGCTAGGTAGCTGTCCTTATCCACTTAATTTCATTCATGGTACGTAAGCCATGTAATGAAGTATCACTATCCATTGTTTTCAATCAATCTATTTCCTATCCCATTTTTGCTTAGTGCAGATTTAAATGTATTCCTGAGAAAAACTTTACGTGTTGAGTGCTGACAAATTCTGTTCCAATAAAATATGTATTTTATAAACCTTTATTAGGACCAGAGAGACTGACTTAATACTATTAGACTATAATAATTTCTTTATCATCGATGTGATTATGAAGTCCCATTTTTTCTTCTTTTAAGTTTCTTTTATTTTTCAATTAAAATTTGTCAATTTTGTTCCCCAGTCGCAGTGTTTTTCATCTTCTTTTCATTTCTTCGTTATCTTTTTCTTTCTTTTATATGATCAATAGTGAGTTTTTCTTTATATACAACAAAAAGTTCAATTACAAATTACAACTTAGATTTTATACATCTATCGTAAATGTAATATTCTGTTACTGTCACACTATTAAATTTTAACCTGCTTATTATAACTTATTTGTTTTCATAAAAAAGTTACAGTGTTTTGTCTTAAATATACCTAATTTGTGGGCATAAACGTACAAGTTTGATTCAATTAAGTTATGCTATAATTCTACACAACTAGATTTTTTATTTTTCTACTAATCATTAGAACAATAGAGATTATATATATATATATATATATATATATATATATATATT